AACTGCTCTGGCTAGAACCTCTAATACAATATCAAATAGAAGTTGTTAGAGTGGACATCCTTATCTTGTCCTTGTATTGTTTCCTAGAGGAAAGCATACAGTTTTTCACCATTAAGTATGAAGTTAGCTTTCAGTTTTTCACAGATGCCCTTTATCAGGTTGACATGCTCAACCAGATAAGCTGCCTGCTTTTGTAAATAAAGTTTTATTGGAACATAGCCATGCCCTTTGTTTATGTATTGCCTATGTATGCTTTGTGCTATAGAGATAGAGTTTTGGAATTGTGACAGAAATCATGTGGCATCTAAATCTGAAATATTTACTATCTGGTCCTTTAGGAAAAAGTCTGCTGACACCTGTTTTAAGCAACTAAATTTTGGGAGAGTTTGCTATGGAGCAATGGATTACTAAAAGAACTCCCAATTTTAGACTGGGACCCCACAGAGCTGCACCACTGAGTAAGGAGGAACCGTAAGTAAACTCTTGCATAGACTACAGTCTAGCTTTCAGTCATTTGGGTGGCTCAGAAAATCTGGAGTCCTGAAATTGGGTTAAGGTGGTCCCAGATTGCTAGTATTACATGATACTTACAGCAAGCAAATGGAAATCCTTTCCATAGGAAGATATTATCATTATAACCTCAAATGATTTTTTAAATACAATGTTCAAAGCATAGCCAGGTACACAAGGAGATAAAACATGTAGAAGAACCAGATGTAAAACCAACAATAGCAGCAAACTCACAGGGACTCCACACTGGAATTTCAGATGCAGACCACAAAACAACTATATTTACCAAGTTTAAGGAGAGAAAAGACAACTTTGAGAATTACATATAGCAGGCACTAGGTGTAAGAAGTGGCATACCAGACTTGAAAAACAACCAAATACAAATTCTAGAACTAAAAATTAGAATTACCAAGTAGAACTCAATGTCCAAGTTTAAGAGATTTAAAAAAAAAAAAAAAAGCTAAAAACAGGCTGAGCCTGATGGCTCACTCCGGAGGCCAAAGCAGTAGCTCGGGAGTTTGAGATCAACCTGAGCAAGAGCAAGACTCCACCTTTACTACAACTAGAGAAATTAGCCTGGCGTGGTGGTAGGTACCTGTAGTCCTAGCTACTGGGGAGGCTGAGGTGGGAAGATGGCTTGAGCCCAAAAGTTTGAGGTTGCTGTGAGCTAGGTTGATACCATAGATCTCTATCCTGGACAACAGATGAGAGTCTGTCTTTGAATAGGTAAATAAGTAAAAGCTGTAAACAGAATTAATGAACTGACAAAACAGTCAGAAGAAACTATTAGAACAAAGCATGGAAGGGGAAAAGATAGAAACTACTGGGCGGCCCCTGTGGTTCAGAGGGTAAGGCGCTGGCCCCATATACCGAGGGTGGTGGGTTCGAACCCAGCTCCAGCCAAACTGCAACAAAAATACAGCTGGGTGTTGTGGCGGGTGCCTGTAGTCCCAGCTCCCAGCTCGGGAGGCTGAGGCAAGAGAATTGCCTACGCCTAGGAGTTGGAGGTTGCTGTGAAATGTGATGCCATGGCACTCTACCGAGGGCAATAAAGTGAGACTCTGTCTCTTAAAAAAAAAAAAAAAAAGATAGAAACTACAGAAGAAAGGGATGAAGTGAGAAGGTTTAATGTGTTTCATTCGGAGCCCTAGAAAGCAAGAGGGAAAGGAACAAAAACAGTAGTTGAATATACATTGGCAGAGAATTGTTCAACACTGATGGAAAAACTATTTGAAAGGTGAGAGAAAGCCATGAAATGAGAGATGTCTACTCTATCATGCGTTCTGACCCTTAAACAGTCCATCCAGAACTTAACAAAGCTGCCTTTGAAAGGACTCTGAACCCAGGATGGAGGTGGCTTTATAGTGGGCGGAAAGGGTTTGGGTGGGCTGGGTTCAAGAACAAGCTCTGTCACTTCCTAGCGGTGCCATCTGGACAAAGTTGCCAAATTTCAGTTTTCTCAATTAATAAATAAGACTAAAGAGAAATACTAATTGGTAGCACCCGTAGCTCAGTGGGTAGGGAGCTGGTCTCACACACTGAGGCTGAAGGGTTCAAACCTGACGCAGGCCAACTAAAACAACAATGACAACAAATATAGCCGGGAGTTGTGGTGGGCACCTGCAGTCACAGCTACTTGGGAGGCTAAGGCAAGAGAATCACTTAAGCCCAAGAGTCTGAGGTTGCTGTGACACCACAGCACTCTACCCAAGGTGACAGCTTGAGCCTCTGTCTCAAAAATTAAAAAAAAAAAAAAGTAATACTAGTCTACCCCACATTACCATTGTAAGAGAATCATGTTATAAAATGTATAGGAACAAACCTAGTGAATACCATGTACTTTAAAAATGAGATGTGGGGCAGGGCCTATGGATCAAAGGAGTAGGGTGCTAGCCCCATATGACGGAGGTGGCAGGTTCAAACCCAGCCCCAGCCAAAAACTGCCAAAAAACCCAAAAAAAAAAACAAAGAGAGAGATGTGGTTTGAGTAGCATCACAAGTATGCCCAAGGGAAGGCATGGACTGCCCACATAATTTGCAGGGCTTAATGCAAAATGAAAATGGATTTGAAAAATTGTTGAAAAATTACTAAGACAAGGGACAGCAGAGCATTAAACCAAGAATTACTTGTTGAAATGTTAGCTTTGGGCTTTTCGAAGATGCCTTTTATCAGGTTGACATCTCCAACCTGATAAGCTGCCTGCTTTTGTAAATAAAGTTTTATTGGAACACAGCCATGCCATTTGTTTATATATTGCCTATAGCTGCTTTGTATTATCATGACAGAGTTGAGGAGTTGAGCAATTACTAAGTCAAGGAACAGCAGAGCGTTAAACTAAGCATACTGCCCTTGTAAATGTGGGGCCCTGTATAAATGCATTGGTTATGCCCTGGTGAAGCCAGACTTGGTGATAGGCTCTGTAAAGAACTGCTCTTATGTCAGAAGGGTCATTTATCCCACATCCAGGTGTCTACATGTAGCCATCGCCCACATAATCTTTCAATTCTGAAGGGCAGCAATGTTTAGGGAAAATGCAAACACATGTGTTTCCAAATGCTAAGAAGGACAAGTATAGTGACTAAGAGTGGTTTTCTTGGGGAGTGAGTGGAGCTAGCCAGGCTGCCACTAGAACTGTGGAACTGACTGTTCCCTACAGACTCTGGTGTAGGAACAAAAAGCCTGCAGCTGTATCCACAAGGCCTGTGTTGTTGCTGCCGTGTGTTACAACACAGCCTGGCAGCCTTCCTTGCCTTTTTGTCTATCCTCCTGAAAGAGTCTAGTCCCAGATCATGTGACATGTCCACACAGCTCTCTGCAGATTTGCCCACACTACACCTTGATGTACCCTCAACTACTAGGCTTTTCTACGTCTGCATGCTTTTTACTCACACCATCACCTCCTGCCTGCTCTTTCCTTCCTCACCTACCCCTGTGTGTGACCTATCACATCTTTTAAAACTCAGCTTGATTGTCAGGAGACCTCTTCAATGAAGCCCTCCCTGCCTCTTCTACACAGACATCTGTCATGACCCCTATAACATGACAAAAGCTGATATATTACACAGACGTTGCTGTCTCCTGGGCTGAAGTCCTTGAGGGCTGAGGTCTTCTCACTTCTGTACACCCTGTACATAGCACAGTGTTTAATACTTCCTGTTATTAAGCATGATTGATGCTTAATCGATTTGTGTTAGTATACAGAGTAGTTTTGGTCAACATTGTCTTGCTGAATTAATGAATAAATTGTTTTAGTGACTCTCCCTGGCAGCTGGTAAAAAGGGAGGTTTCTAGGCACTGAGAATAGACAAATGACTGAGACAGAACCTTTACTCTTCACTGTTGACTTTGTCTTTTCTGCAGATACCACCTTTTGAAGGCAGCATGGTGATTTGTAGATGAGGTTCTTCATAAACACTTAAATGTGATTTAGTGCAAAGAGAGCAGATTTGGACCCAGGAGACATGGATTCCAATCTGGCCATAGGATACCAGGTTTCCATAGGTAACTAATATGTTCCATAGGTATCTAGTTATGGGACTTTAGGTTTCTGTTTCCTCAAAAGTGAGACGGTTGAGCTAAAGATTCTCTAAGGCCCATGTGCTCTTAGGTGGGAGCGACTCAGAGGTGGCCATCTAGTTGGAGAGGCTTGTGTTCAAGTTGGTTTGCTCAGCAATTTACCCTTTGGAGTTGGAGGAGAACACAGTCATTTTTAAGGCTCTTTCCTATCTTACTCACCTAAAATGATATATTTGCAAGGTAGAAAGCCATAGCTAAGGATGGTCTTCACAGTGGCTGGGTGTCCAGAGGGAGGTGCTATGTGCTAAATTGGTTCTGGGTACGGGATTTCCCCAGTCCCGACTGGGCATCTTTGACTTCTTGAGGTTGCTTCCTAAGGCTAACCTGGTGGGCACAAACATCTTGGCCTGTCCATCTCCAGGCTCAGGGCATGCCTGGTGGACAAATAATAGGGGCAGAGAGAGGCTTCAGAGGGATCATGCACATGTGAAGTCAACTAGCTTGTGTAGGTATTAGTTTCTTTGGAGGTAAGGGACGTTGCGAGAGGGTGTCTCAGTTTCCTACATCCCTTTTCTAAGGCCCCCACAATGGGCAAGGGCCAGACACGTGGGCAGCGTAGGGAGGCGGAGAAGCAAATGAATGGGGGCGGGGCCTTATTTCCATGGACGGCGCGCGGCCACCAATCCGGACAAGCAGAACGACAGCCCGCGCGCCTTTTGGGGGCGGACTGACAGCCCCGGGGCCCTATGGAAAGCGGGTCCTGCGGCCGACGGGGGTGGGACAGCACCGGGCGCTGCCCGGGGGATTCGGGCAGGCACACGGGCGCTGCCAGTCTTGGGCGGCGGTGTCCGGCGCGCGGGCGGCCTGCTGGGCGGGCTGAAGGGGGAGAGGCGCGAGGGTGAGGTGGAGAGAGACGGAGTCGGCAAGCCCCTGCGGCGACAGGTACCGGCGCCATGGCTGCAGGGATGGGGCGGCGGGCAGCGCGCCCGAGGAACCGAATTCCCTCCTTCCCGGTCCCGTCGTGGCCGCGCCGCCTCCCCGCCCCCTCACGCGGCTCCGGTGACTGAGAGCGGCGCGTCGGGGCGCGCAGCCAGGAGGTGGGCGCGCCGGAGGCCCCAGCCCCACTGCGGGGTCCCTCGCCGCGCCGCCGGGTGGAGGGGCCGGTGCTCCCTGCGAGAGGCGCGGAGCCGGGTGGCCGCCGGAGCCGCTCCCCGCCCCCGCCGGGCTCCCCCTCGCGGAGGCGAGGTCGGTCGCGCCCGCTTGTCTTCGCTCGGCTTTTGTTTCCCGCCCGTGTGACAGGTCCGGCTCCGGCTCTAGTCTGCGGCCCCCGACTCGCCTGAGGCCGGGCGGGCCGGTGACCGCTGTCGCACGGAGCCGACTGGGGGATCCTCGGAGTGGGTCTGAGCGTCACTGCCGCGGGCAAGAGCGAAACTTCGCTTTCCAAAGCCCGGGCAGCCGAAGAACTCGATCCCGGGGTGAGCCGGCCGCCGAGTCGCCGCGGGCACGGAGCAGACTCGCTCACCTGGCGGGGCTGGTGGAGGGTGAGGATAACGGAGCAACCCGCTGCTGACTGCCTAGCTCCGGGTGGCCGCCCGCTGGGCGTGGATGGGCGTTCACCGCCTTCACCTGTCGCCCTGGGACTCGTGACTGGGAACGGCATCGCCGCTCTCGGCCACTTGTTGAGGGTGTCCGTGCAACGCGGTTCTAACAGGTGACCAGTATTATTCTAGCGCCAGATGAAAGCCAGCTAAAAGTTGTTGTAGGGTTCCTTGTTTAGCTTAATCGTGGGATATTAAAACAGCTTCTGCTTTATTGACCGTCTAAAATTAGTTAGGGGGTAGTGAGACACTCCCCGCAACAATATGAGTCAAAAAACGATATTGGTAAAAAAAGAAAAAGAAAAGGAGGGTCGAGATATAGATTGCCTTTTTTCAACTAATGAGCCAAGAGGAACATATCAGTCTCGTTTGAAAAATTGTTTTCCGCAGTGGTAGCAGAAGCATAGTAAGGTACAAGTTGTAAGTGGAGAATGCAGAACTCTAGATATCCTTCAGTGTGGTTCAGGACAGTGTGTACAGCATTTGGCCGCCATTCAGTAAATTCTGCATGAAGCAGTTTGAGCTGGTGGTTTTGGATTTACTTTTCAGGAGTATGTTTTCCAGTGGAATAGGCTTAGTATTGAATGGGAGCTTTCTTTGCCTGTCTGAGGGTAGACAGGAGTGTTTATTTTCATTGTCTTCCCATTTTGTTAAATTGTGGCCAAGGGAAAAGTTCGACCATATTTTGGTCAAGTATTTTTAATAGTCTGGGAGTTTTGGCCCCTTCCCTCTTAAGGGTTTTTGCAGAATTATGGTAGCTTCTTGAGTCAAAAATCAAGGATTGGCTAGAAGTTACTCTGATGGGAAATTTTTATTGTCATACTTTCACTTAACATTTTCTGTTTCTCTCTCTCCCAGCTGACCTCTGCTTAACAGTCTTCAGTTACGGCCCTGACAAATTTAGGGATTCTGTAGAAATACGTAATATATTTTTAAAATACATTTTTAAAATGAGCGTTATTATGTATCATTTGTGAGAAACATTTGATTTAGTTTACTTGATTATTTTCTTCTATTATGTGATTGTTTGATATCTGTATTGTGTATGATTTATACTTAAGAGATATAAATTTAACTTAGCAAAGTGACTTAATTATGCTAATTGATTAGTGGCTTATTGGATGGTCATTTTACTTATTTATTTAGCTAATTAGAGTTAGCTAATAACTAATAAGAGTTCATCATTGAAAGGTGAACTCTTCAAGCAATAATTGTGACTATTGAAATTTTTTAAAAAATCAAAGATGGTCTTTATAAATTGTTTTATTTCTCTGAAACAGCATGCTTATATTGTGAGGTCTTTGTCTTTCCAACATTTAACAACATAAATATGTGTACACATCTTTAATTTTTTTTCAGTTAGGAAATTTGTGGTGAATTCTTTTTAAATATAATTTTGATCAGCTTTAACTTGAAAAAGTTAAAAATACTGAATTAAGTACCTAAATCTTCAATTTCTGTTTATTCTTGGATTGGAAAATAATGTATATTTAGGGGTTAGTTTAGTTCTCTAAAAGTTTCCCAGCTTAGAATGAATTGGTCCAGAAAAGAAAGAACATTCTCTTCATATATCTATAGAAGTTACTGCTATTAAAAGCTAAGTTGGCTTTTTGATGCTTAGTGAGGGTAGATTGGTTGAAGAATGACTCATCCTCATGTAGAGTGAGTTTATTCTGTATAAATAATTGTAGGGAATCTTATAAAACTGGGGCTTTCATTGTTTTCGATCATTTATATAATTGCTCTTTAGTGTACAGGAATATATTAACTCAAATACTATTTGTAATTAGAGAGTTTCTAATCCTTATCCTTTGATGATACATAAACATACTACATATCATAAAGCTATATTTTGCATAAATTTATGTACATAAAAGCATATTTTAGGTATTTTGACTATAAAAGTTAAAATTGTATTAACTTTATCAATTAACTTAAGTTTAATTAAAAGATATTTTAAGATTCAGTTTTTAAATGTTTTAATTATTTTTGTGTACTTTAACTTGTGGTAGACCATATCAAAATTATTGACCATATTTCAGTTTCAAAATTAAGCATAGGTTGAATTTTCATACTACATGATAAACATTGGGAGTGTTTTAAAGACATTTGCCCTAAGGTATAGCATCTTTTGAGTTTGGTGATGAGTGGTGGTAAATAATTTTAAATAAATAAAGGCTTATATTAAAATAGCTAAATTTGAGGATAGATCAAATGGCACTGTTATAAACATTATTACTACTTTATTTAATAGAATATGTATATTGTACCTGGCATTAAGAATGTCCTCTCTAGGCCTTTAATAGAATGTTTCACAATTTTTTTTTTTTTTGAGACAGAGTCTCATTTTGTTGCCCTTGGTAGAATGCCGTGGCGTCACTGCTCACAGCAACCTCAAATTCTTGGGCTTAAGTGATTCTCTTGCTTCAGCCTCCCTGGTAGCTGGGACTACAAGTGCCTGCCACAATGCCCAGCTATTTTTTTGTTACAATTGTCCTTGTTGTTTAGCTGGCCGGGGCTGGGTTTGAACCCTCCACTGTTGTTGCATGTGTCCAGCACCATAACCACTGTGCTACGGGCACCAAGCCAGTGTTTCACAATTTCTAAAGAAGAATCTCTATTGTACATATTTTGACACACTAAATTCTGTATAAATGTATGCTAAACAATTAAATATTTATACTTTGTAATTTTGAAATGTGAACTTTCTAATATAGCTGATTAATAATTAGATTTTGTTTTTTCAGTATTTTATATTTTTTGAATTTTTCTATGGTACATTTTAGTACATTTTAAAATTCTTACATTGTATCACCAAAAGTGTAAAGAAAATTAAATCTGGGTAGATGATTGTATATAAGTCGCATAACTATTGATTTAAAGAATACCACTTAAGGCCAGTGTGGTGGCTCATGCTTGTAATCCTAGCACTTTTGGGAGATCGAGGTGGTAGGATCACTTGAACTCAGGAGTTCCAAGACCAGCCTGAGCAAGAGACACCTCCTAACCCCCATCTCTACTAAAAATAGAAAAACTAGTGGGTATGGTGGCACATGCCTGTAGTCTCAGCTACTCAGGAGCCTGAGACAAGAGAATCTCTTGAGTCCAAGAGTTGCTGTGAGCTATGATGATGCCATTGTACTCTACCCAGGGCAACAGAGTAAGATTCTGTCTCAAAAAAACAAACAAAACAAACAAAAGAAAACTCAACAAACAAACAAAAAAACCCCCAAAAGCCACTTAAGTGATTTAATTTTCAGATAAGATGTTTATGTGTAAAAGACAGTTCTGCAAATGAAGATGGGTTGAAATAATTTATAGTAAGGCCATATTTACTAACAGGTTATAGCTAACAGATTAATAAGGATATTTTAGCAATATTTAGAACACTAAAGTTCCAGTACTCAAAATAATTTGTACACCTTAGAATGATCTGTTATGAGAATTGACCTACATTTTATGCTTAATTTAGCATTTATTTATAGTATTTAGGAAAACATTTGGTTAATGAGAGTGAAGGACCACCAGACGGAGTGTGGGGTTTATACATTTGGTGTACTTTTTTTTTTTTACCTTTGGTCTGGAAGCACTACATTTTAAAAATTAAGACTAAAATTTTATTATAGTTTTTTAAAATAATCAGGCCAAAGATTTTGAAGTTGGTGATTGTAACTGCTTAGAGTTGCATTCATTTTTGATCAAAATCAAGGCTTAAGGCTGTTTTTCTTCTTTTGGAAAAAGGTACAATTATTAGAGAAATGAAAATGATGTATTTTTAGAGTTAAATAATGTGTTTTTAAGGAAACAGTCACGTGTCTGGGAAGGTAAGGGAACATCCATATGCTAAGAATGTTTTTTAAGATTAAAAATACAGTACATTTGAATTGATGTTTTTGAAATTGCTCATTTTTTGGAAGGAGGAACAGAAGAGGAAAGAAAGATCAAGACTAGAAGAGGAATTTTTTTTGCCATTTGTAATTACAGACCCTTCCTAAGTGGGCAGTGGCAAATTTCTAGTCTTCGTAGCATTCTGCTACAATCTTGGCAATTTATAGATGATGCTAAATGAAAATGGTCATCTGATTATTGAAAGCAGGTTGTGAATTTCAAATTAATCTCTTCAAAACTCAGATTTGTGTTTGTTTCTTAATGTTTCTAGTTCTGGAAATTAAAGTACCTCCTCTATTATCAGCCGAATATCACACAGTGGAATTTGAAAGTCGCAGTGTCTCACTCGAAGATTTATTGCTGTAGTAGGTTACTTTTTGGAATGGAGAAAACATCTTAGTGATCAAGTCTATTGGAATATATTCTGAATCAACATGGAATATTCTTTTCCCATGTTAAATATTAACCAATGAAATTATTTCCATGTTTAACTTTCTTTTATAAAAGCAAGACAATAAAACAGTCTTATAATCTTAATATATATTTTAGGTTTTATTGCTAGCATAAAAAATATAGTAGACGGTACATTTAATGTTCTGAAAATCTAGTTTCATGGGAGATATTTGTTATAAAAGGTGTTTCGTTGAATCCTAACAGGGTAATTTACATGGAGAGAAAATTTGTTTCTCTTTTGAATTATTCTTAGGTTACATTATAAATTTACTAAGAAAACTTGAGATGATCATCTTTTCCATTTTAGATTTATTTTCACTATGAACTTTATAAGTTCTTTTAAAATATTTTTGTTGGCCTTAAGTAGATTTCTCATAACTAGTCAAACTCACTATTTGTGAACATATGTATACACAAATGTACATATGTATATGTAAATACGAAATATCTATTTTTACATCACATGTAACTATAAATATAATTGCTATGTATATGTATGTAGATAGCTGTATCTATCTATACTGCCTTATTTATAT